GCTCATATCAAACTTCTTGGATCCTAATAAAAGAATAAGGAACAATCTGATTCCTTCTAAATCCTCTGGAATCCACAGATTTCAAAAATTCCTAATATGTTCCCAACACACTGTCAAATTCACATCAGAACATATTAAGGGCAATCTCAGTGTATAATGAGAGGTACTGTTGTTAAGTGCCATTGAGTTGATTCCAATTCATAGTGGCCCCATGTGACAGAGTAGAACTGCCCCATGGGGTTTTCTTGGCTGTAATCTTTAGGGAAGTGAATGGCCAGGTCTTTCTCCCATGGAGCTGCTGAGTGGGTTCAAACCTCCAACCTTTCAGTTAGCAGCTGAGTGCTTAATTTTTGTGCCAACAGAGCTCCTTAATGAGAGGTACTAACTTCTTTTATAAAAGTTACTGTTTTAAGCAGCACACTATGATTTCAGTTACACTGTAAATGAATCTGGTAAATGTTTTTTCCCATCCACTGGTACGAATATCCCACGAAAACATATAGTATCATAAATCAGCAGAAAATAATAACTCATTGTTAAGGCATTTTTTACTTATGTCTACCTAATTAAATGCAGAATAAAACCATCATCTCTTTTTATCATTTAATTATTATTTACACCGATTTCCATCATGAAGACTGGCTTGCACCTATAGGTCCGAGACCTTAAAGAAATCAGGCTTCCAGGGACTGAATTGCTAGGCGAAGGGCTGTGGGGACCATGGTCCCAGGGAACATCTAGCTCAATTGGCATAACACAGTTTATAAAGACAAAGTTCTACATTCTACCTTGGTGAGTAGCATCTGGGGTCTTAAAAGTCTGTGAGCAGCCATCTAAGATATTCCACTGGTCTCACCCCTTCGGGAGCAAGGGAGAATGAAGAAAACAAGATACAAGGAAAAGATTAGTCCAAAGGACTAATGGACCACAGCTACCATGGCCTCCACCAGACTGAGTCCAGTGCAACTAGATGGTGCCCACTGACTGCTCTGACTGGGATCACAACAGAAGGTCCCGGACAGAGCTGGAGAAAAATGTAGAACAAAATTGTAACTCACAAAAAAAGACCAGATGTACTGGCCTGACAGAGACTGGAGAAACCCCGAGAGTATGGAACACGGACACCGTTTTAGCTCAGTAATGAAGTCACTCCCGAGGTTCACCCTTCAGCCAAAGATTAGACAGCCCCATAAAACAAAACGAGGCTAATGGAGCATAACAGTCCAGGGACAAGGACAGAAGGCAGGAAGGGATAGGAAAGCTGGTAATAGGGAACCTAAGCTTGAGAAGGGACAGTGTTGACATGTGGTGGGGTTGTTAACCATTGTCATAAAACAATATGTGTACTGTTTAATGAGAAACTATTTGTTCTGTAAACCTTCATCTGAAGTACAAAAAAAAAAGAAAGCCCTAAAAAAAAAAAAAAGAAAGAAAGAAATCAGGCATCCACTAGTGGCTAAATCGAAATCTTCAACCTAATAGGAACCTTGGATTCCAGAAGAATAAAACTTTGGACCTATTTAATATCAGTTTAATAACATTTCATATAAACCAGCCTCCTGAACTATTCTGAAAAATTAAGATTCACTGAGATCCGAAATAGTAAAGGATATTTACCTGCTAACGTTACAAATGGCCTCAAGGGAAGATTTAGTTTATATTTAAGACTCCTTGTATTTAAAAAGAATAATTTATAATAGCTCCCACTTTGCAGAACCTCCTACCATGCTGATGTTATCCATGCAACATGTCAATTGATCTTCACAACTCTAAAAAAGTTTTCTCTATCCTCAATTTACAGAGAAGGAAATCAGGGGTATAGAGCAAGGGGAACATGCTAATAAATGGCAGATCAGAATTTGACCCCAGGTCTACTTGACTTCCTTGGCCACACTCTTTCCATCACACCACACTATCATGGTACAAAAGGTTAACACACTTGGCTGCTAACAGAAAGTTTGGAGATTTGAGTCCATCCAGAGGTGCCTCAGAAGAAAGGCTTCGTGATCTACTTCCAAAAAATCAACCATTGAAAACCCTATGGAGCACAGTTCTACTCTGACATACATGGCGTCGCCCTGAGTAAGAACTGACTCATCAGCCACTGGTTTTTAGCTTATTACCTATTTGAAGAGAGCTTGGATCAGTCATGTCAGAATCAGTTTTATTAATCCAGCCTCTAGTCTTCAATGGGGAGACAATGCTTTATAGTGAAAAGAGCAGAAGAATCTTCTTCCAACAGCTTCTTCTAAGACACAGTGAAGAAAAACTATGAGAGGGGTGACAAAATGGATTCATGAATCCTTAATTCATTTACTAGCCATGACTAGGCCAGTAGGAATAGGGACAGCAGATTATTAAACCTCCTGTATGAACTCCCCAAGCCCTTTTCCACATGTTCTTACTGTCTTCTCAAATCCTGCCTATCTCCATCACAATCCTCCTCCAAGAGCAAGTTCTCAAAACGATTTATCCCACTTTTAAATGGGGTTTTCACTATATCAGCAGGAACTTTGGCCTCAGCCCAGGCCTCTGCTCCACTGAACTAAAGCCCTTCTGTTCCTAGTACACCTCACTCTTGTGATCACAAGAAGTAAATGTTCTGCACGTTCATCCTTGTTATCTTCCTTCCATCGTCATACACCTGGCTGAACCAGGTCTGTCTGTACTTCTAAATCCCATATTTTAGTACATTCTATTCAAATAAAATTTCATGCTTTGCCATAGAAGTTGGACACTGACAAACTTTCTAACTAGAGAGATTTTAGTCCAATGTCCTAAGTGTTATCATTTAGTCTAATATATTTTTCTTCTTCAATATAATGAATTTTTCCTGATTAGTGCAACTTAGCACAATCAAAGGGAAAGTTGCTGCTCAGTGCCTTATTTGGCCTACCTTATTAAAAAATTCTAAAGAAGAGTTTAAATCCCTAATCCTCACAAAGCAGAACTACTGCAAAAAAAAGAGAGAGAGAGAGAAGCCAAGGATGTGTGGACTACTGCATAAGCCAACTCCTTCGCTCATCTCCATCCCTAACTCTGCTGGGGCAGGCATTTGGACATTGAAGACAGGAAGGGAGAAACAGGAGGCCAAGCCTTGCTGTTCTGCCTGAGGCAAACTGCAATAATACCAAAGCCCCACTGGGGTAGGGAAATGAGGACTTTAAACCAGACAAGATCATATATACTAAAACCGAAATGTAATTGAACGAATATCTACCAGAAATAAAACTCTTAAAGCAGAAGTGCCTGGGAGTTATTGGATCAGACTGAGGTGGTATTAAGCAAAGTTGGTAGCAGTTACTGGAAACAAATATAACCATTCCATGTTTATACCTCACCAAGCTGAGATATCCCAATCCAATCTATATAGAGACATTGCCCTAAGTCACATTTACTAGGAAGAATACAGGAATTTATTATGTGGTCAACTCAAATATGGCCAGGAGGTGGCCCACTTGAGATTTATTTATAGGAAAAAATGTTTTACCAAATTAGGTGTCATATGAACTATGCCCTAACTTTCCTACCTTCCCACTAGTGATGATTACTATTGTGAACCTGTTGCTGCTACAAGTCCCAGTGGTAGGCATGAATCAATTAGAAATTATAAAAGAAATTTAATGAGATTAATTTATTTTAAACTGCTCATATTTAATTCCACTAAAGTGGCATTATGAAACTGGGAAATAAGGAACATTTCCTGGCAAAAGGAGAAAGATGCATACAAAGACTCTAAACCCACTTGCACAAGTTGGTTGCAATCACATCCGATACTCGCATGGAGCCCCTCAGCTCAAAGAGATTTTTAATAAAATGTTCTTTCAAAAATGCATGATAAAGAGAAAATGCAGGCACATGCATAAAGATTTTTAATCGTATAATTCACTACTGAAAAGATTTGGAACACTCTTGCTGAACACGCCATATTGAGTGGAGAAATGAGAAAAACGGCACAGACAATGTATTCAAAACCAAAGAACAAAAGTTGGGGCTGTCAATCCATGATCAATACCTCCTACAGCTGTGGAAAGAGCAACGGAGAGCAGGTTCCATGTGCTTGCATAGACATCGTTGAGTCCTCACCCTACTTCCTTCATAGCTTCCCCTAAGCCCCAGCAAATAGGCGGGCATGAGCAGAGTAATTAGTGATTCTAATAACTATTTTGATGTTATTAAATAAAAGATTGGATGTAATTTTGCAAATATATATAAAAAATTAAATTTGAATGATATTTTTCCTACAGGATATTTTATCTCATTTTCCTTATGGTGAACACACTCTTGCACACAAACTCACACACATGCTCTTCTCAAAGATAGCTGGGAGAGAAGGGAATCTCATGGTCTTAGGCGGTGGCTCATTGCAAACACTCATACCAACTGGTAGGAATGGACACTCTCAACATGCTAGTGGGAGGTGGTCGTGTTTCAGGAGCTTCACCCTCAGCTTTGGCTATTAGATTTGAACTGTGGCCCTAATACGTTTTTCAAGTGCTAGCAAATTTTGGTAAAATTTTTCAGCAGTGTCTTCATCCACGTCCATCTGGAAATAAAAGCAAAAATAAGCATAACTTGGATCTTAAAAGTAACGGAAAATGAGGTTAATAAAATTTGGATTTGAAAGGAAGGCATTTGACATGTGTGAGAAGAAAATTAAACATCATGGAAGGAAAGAGACCAGCAAGATAGAGCTGCTGAGGTAGCAATACAGGGAACTCTTAGGAATCACAGGGAACTTGAGGACATGTTATCTCACAGTCGTAACCCCATCCCTTCCCAAATTGACTGGGACTCCTCATAAACAGAGAAGCTGACAGACCTGACCTTTGCTGCTCCCTTAGTACCTGCATCTCCATAGCAGAAGTCCTCACTACCAAACAGTCAACACATCCCTATATTAAATGTAACAGGGCCTTCAATTCTAAAATCAAGACTCTTTCCTAATTATCCAAGTAGTAGCAAGGTAAGTAGCATTTTCCATATTATAACAGTTGATTCCCAATGGGCATTCTTTCCTAATAGAAAACAAGCGATAATTATGCATCTATAGCTACTTCCCTTTTACCTCATAGCTTTCCTAAGTTTAAAATAATTCTCATTCAAGAGAATACACTCTGAAATCTGATTCTGAGGGATCAGAATCCCTAAGTTGAAGAGTTCTACAGCTCACCTTGACTTTACAATTTAATCCTAAATATCACTAAAAGATAAACAAAACTGTTTTTACTAACATACATATAACCACCTTATTTACACAAGTCATCTTACAGTTTTTCCATAGGATATTGGAGTTGTTAGAGGTTTCACAGATTGACTAGTTCAACCCCAGTCCAGACATGAGAAATGACTTCTTCAAAACACACAGAAAATAGAAATATGTGTTTTCAGTTGATTTCCCACCAGTGAATTTTGTTTGAGACTTCAAAGTCTGATCACCCTGTGTACACCAATAATCCTCCTTAGTGGTGAAGACAGCAGGTCCAGGAAAGTAACCTTGAGGGCCATAAAATTAGTTGCTGGACTAATATAGTTTCCCAAAGGGTATTCCATGAGATGTTGCTCAGTTCTCTAGGAAAAAAGGACTCTGGGCTAAAATGAGTGTGGGGAAACCCGGGTTAAGCAATAAAAGCAAATTTCTCTGTCATGGGATTCTCCAACTGTTAATGTCATTATGAACATCTAAGGGAGGAAATATACCATGCTGAATTCCACCAAATGATAGGACCATAGAAATTTTTCCATAAATCATCCCCAGGGATGGTGATAATCTATGAGCACACTTTAGAAACACTATCCAGGAGTAAAAACTAGATTAAAACAAGCTTTTTATCTTATAAATAGTCAGCAATGATCTTATAAATTCCAGGTGGCAATAGCATGAATGACATTTTTCTTAAAGGATATCTTTTCTTATTTTCCTTACAGGTATTCCTACATACACATGCGCATACACACACACTCACAAGCACGTACACATACACATACAAATGTGGCAAGAGTCTCACTCAAAAACTTCATGGACTAAAATGGCAGAAAGGGTAAGAAGGTGAGGAAATAGTTGTGTTTGTTCCAGGTGCTTTATATATTTTATGTGTGTTGTCTTAGTTTCATTTCACAGATGAGAAATCGGACGATCAAAGGTCTTAAATATTTTTGAGCCTGCAGAGGCAGCAAGAATGGAGCTGGGGATGGGGGGCTTATTATTCTGTCTCCAAAGCCCCTGCCCTCCCCAATACATTAGGCTGCCTTGTCCATTTCCACCCAAAAGTTTAACAATAACAACAAAAACTGTTACATGTCAGGCACTGTGCTATAGGCTAAGGGTATGAAGATAAATCTGGCACAATCCCTGACCTCAAGGAGTTTTCAGTCTAGTGAAATAAACAGACCAAAAGCCACATTCGACTAAAATTGCTGTTGCAGTCACAGATGTTGTCTTCTCCACCTCAAATGATTAAGTACAGCCAATCATGGTCATTCTATTCCCCCTGCCAATCAGCCATTCAGGAAAGGTCATGTGACTCCACCCTTGCCAATGAAAAACAAGGGGAAGATTACTGAGGACTTCTGGGGAAGGTATCTCCATTCCTAAGAAATAGACCCAGAGGAAATAGTGGCTTTCAGGAACCGATGAGAAGTTTACTGTGACTGTCATTGTTGTTGTTAGGTGCTGCTGAGTCCATTACTGTGACTAAACAAAAAAAAAAAAACATTGCTATCGAGTCGATTCCTAAATAATTGATCATCCAAATTGGAACACTTTTAAGTGAAAGGGGATACTACCAATACAAAAAATGGGGCATTGGTTGTTCAATGGTAGAATTCTCACCATCCATGCAGGAGACCCAGGTTTGATTCCTGGCCAATGTACCTCACACACAGCCACCACCTGTTTGTCAGTAGAGGCTTGAGTGTTGCTATGATGCTGAACAGGTTTCAGCTGCACTTCCAGATTAAGATGGACTAGGAAGAAAGGCCTGGTGATCTGATTCTGACAATCAGCCAATGAAAACCCTATGGATCACAACAGATCCAGGCAGCGCTTTGTTCTGTTGTACATGGGATCATCATGAGCTGGGGGCTGAACTGACAGCTGCTAACACCACCACTAGGCATAAAATGGGCAAATCTACTTATACATCACACTAAGGAGTTTGGACTTTTGTCTGGATTTGGCTACTTAACAGCTTTTAAGCAAGGAAAGATTATAGTCTCATTTGGATTTTAGATACATCTTTCTGGCCGCAAATGGAGAGAAGGAATTTGTAGGGACAGGACTGGAGTCAGGGAATAACACTGGAGGCATGGTCCATAGGAGAGAGGTTGAGGGACTAAATGAGAGCAGGGCACTGGGGATAAAGAGGAGGGGCAGGTTTGAAAGCATTTAAGAGTAGGATAATCAGGAGAACCTGGTGACTGAGTAGGTCCAGAGAGGGAGAGTAAGACTGGATTACAGGGCGGCACTCAGCTTCCTGAATTGGACACCTGCATGGAAGATTATGTCATTTCTCAGGAGTGGGATCACATGAGGAGCAACAGTCCTCACCTCACCCTGGGAAGGCCTACCAGTTACCAGTTGCTGTCAAGTTGATCCCAACTAATGGTGACCCCATATGTGTCAGAGTGTAACTGCTCTCCATAGGATTTTCAATGGCTGGTTTTTCAGAAGTAGATCACCAGAGTTTTCTTCCAAGGTGCCTCTAGGTAGACCCAAAATTCCAACCTTTCAATTAGCAGTTAACCATTTACACCGCCCAGGTACTCCTGAGAAGGTCTACTGTTGTCGTTGTTCTGTGCCATAGAGTCAATTCTGACTCATAGCGACCCTATAGGACACAGTAGAACTGCCCCATAGGTTTTCCAAGGAGTGGCTGGTAGATTCAAACTGCCAAACTTTGGTTAGCAGCCTGAGCTCTTAGCCACTTCGCCAGCAGGGCTCGTAAGAAGACCTTGGCAACCCAAAACCTGAAGACCTTGGGAGGTTGAGCTCACTTGGATACGCTAAATATGCTTGTGTATAAGACGCCATCTTGATAGAGACTGTGGAAAGAACATTGAAGTAGGGGAATTGTGTTCATTTTCCTACTTCCAATCTTTCTGGCAGAGATTAGAAATGAGAGGAAAACTTGAGGGAAGAGAATCAGTTTGCGGCTAGGAGTCCAATAAGAAACTATCAACAAGAATAGATCGAGGGCAATATGTTGCAATGCATCTGAGGCATAGGAAACGTCAAGAAGACAATATTCGGATTTTCTTCCCATTATTGGCAGGAGTCACTCCATGCCTGGATCTTAGACCACACCCATGTTGTGGCTGTAGTCAAATCATTCTTTTTCTCCCAAGAATCAATCTCTCCCCCTCATTTCTCTCCTTGTTATTTTATCAGAATGTTAATATAATTAGGGGGACTGAATTTTATTAAACAACTCCAATATGCATCTAAGATAATATACGTAATGTAGGGGTTGCTGGTCAGGGTACAGAACACCCACTGTCCTATTGCTTGAGAATGCATTCATTCATTCAAAAAAATCTATACTGAGCACCATTACATGACAGGTGCTGTCCCCTCATTACTGAGAACAGAAAACAAGACGTGACCAATCACTGACATCCAGGTCCCAGGCTAGTACTTCATGCCTGTGAATATTCCAGCCCAATGAAGACATCTGATGGGCTGGTGTTTGTCAGGAAAACACTCTACTTTTTCTCCTCCCAACTTCCTCTCCAAATCAATGACCACATCATGCACCTTTAAACCCATTGCCGTTAAGTCAATTCTGACTCATAGTGACCCTATAGGACAGAGTAGAACTGCCCCCATATGGTTTTCAAGGAGCAGCTGGCGGATTTGAACTGCTGACCTTTTTGGTTAGCAGCTGAGCTCTTAACCACTGAGCCACCAGGGCTCCCATGCACTTTTACAGGAGCCAAAAGAGTGAAAAATGAGAAATTTTTAGGTAAGCCTTAAATGTGATTGAGATAAAAAACAATACAATTCTTGTGGGTTAATGATAAATTTTCTCTTTTCTTATTACAGACTGTTATGAGTCTAAAAAGATTCTGCATCCTCGGTGCCTGATCTACTAGGGGAAAAATGCAGAGCTGAATTTCAAATTCTCAACGGAATCCAGATTCTCTGGGGCCAGTGAGGCTGGATGGACCCCTGAAACTGTTGTCCTGATATAATCTTTAAACTTTAAACCTTAAACCAAAACTATCCCCTGAAATCTTCTTTGAACCCCAAAAAATAGCTTGTTTTAATTAGTAAAGTACATCTGCTTTGAGCATTGTGCTCTTTTAAAGAATTATCTACAGGAGATCAAATTGACAATGGCAACTCAAAAGTTTGGATAGGAAGCTTAGGGGGTAGTGAATTTAAGATAATGGTGGTGGAATAATTTCTATAAGAATAGGAGCATGGCAGCACAACTTGAAGAATGCAATCAATGTCACTGAATCGTACATGTAGAAATTGTTGAAATGGTGTGTCTTTGGCTGTCCATAATTTCACCAAAATAAAAAAATTGAAAACAAAACAACACTGTATATTAAAACCTACTACAGCTGATAATGGGCAAAGAGGTATTGGTCTGAGAAAGACTTAAAGAGTAGTTAAAGGAAAGCTACTTTCAGTTAATACTACTTTCAGTTAACTACTTTATTTGGCAGCTCAATGAACACCTGTTTATCGTCTACCATGGATAAAGGCCTTGTGCCAGGAATTGGCGACACAGACAACATGCATGTATAACCCTCCTTCTTAGAGCATTTATTCCGGCAGGGGCACTAAATAAATTCAATCAGTTTTTAAATCACAGTATGATAAGTGCTAGGGAGGAGAAGTACAAGTGCTAAGAAAGTCTAAAACAGGTTTGGAAAGACAAGGGAGGCTTCTATGATGACCTGACAGGTAAGGAGAAACTGACAAGGTAAAAGGGTGAGGTAGAGAGTTTCCGGAATCCATAGGTGGTGCAAACGGTTAACACGCTCAGCTGTAACCCAAAGGTTGGAGGTTTGAATCCACCCAGAGGTGCCTTGGAAGAAAGGCCTTGTGACCTGCTTCCCCAAAAATCAGTCATTGAAAACCTTATGGAGCACAGTCCTACTCTGAAAAAACACATGGTGTCATCAGGAGTCAGAATCCACTCTATGGCAACTGGTTTACAGCATTTCTGGAAGGACCATGAAGCTGAGCAAAGACCGTTGGGTGATAAGAAGCATGAGGTAATGAAGGTGCCGGAGGAAGAGCAGTGTGGCTGGAGCTCAGGAAGAGAAGGAAGAGATGGGCAGGAGTGGCTGAAAAGGTTTGTAAAGAAGGCAGGGGTCTCCCTACTAAAAGTTAAACAATGTAAAAATAACTCACCTTTTGGGGATTTATATAATTTTTTCCAAGGCCCGTGGTAGCACTATGGTATTTGGTGAGTGGGTTCAGAGACTCAGGCTTTTGCTGGAACAGCCACAGCTGGAAAACGAAATGGAGGTGTTAGTAATTCACAGCTACCCCAGCCAGGGGAGGCTCTGGCACTGGTCACCTAGTACCTTAGACTAAACAAACCTCACAAATCCTTTATAGTTCAGTGATTGCATTCACCTGGAAAGTGAGCCAGAAGGAAGTGGGACAAACTGATTAGCAATGTCCTTTACAAATTACTTAAAGAAAAAAAGAATCCTGTTAGAGTTGTCTCCTTCCTTCAAGCTCCACCTAGTGTAACTTGGCACACTCTGTGTCAAAGCAAGATACAGATCCACGATCTCTTGGGACCTTGAAAATGGAATGACAACACGTGGATCAAAACAGACCCCTCAAACAAAACTAACTCAACATGTTTTATTGACTTTGTTACGATCGAATTGTGTCTCTCAAAAATACGTGTTGGAGTCCTGACCCCTGTATTTGTGGATGTAATCCTATTTGGAAATAGGGTTTTCATTGTTAGGTTAATAAGGCCATATTGGTGTAGGGTGTATCTTGAACCTAATCACTTCTGAGTGATATAAAGAGCAGCAAGACACACAGACATCCCAGCACAAGTGGGAGAGAAGATAGATGCCATGTAAAAACCACCAAGGAACCGAGGAACTGCAGAAGCTGAGACAAGGATCTTCCCCCAGAGTTAACAGAGCCCTCCCCTAGAAGTGGTGCCCTGAATTTGGACTTTTAGCCTCCTGAACTGTGAGAAAATAAATTTCTATCCTTTAAAGCCACACACTTGTGGTATTTCTGTTACAGCAACACTGGCAAACTAAGACAAACATTATTTGGCACAAATTTATTATTAGTCTAGTTTTCCAAGTGGAACTGGCGAACAGGTACATCCAGACCCAGGTGAGAAAGACAATGAAGATCTAAGCCTTGTCTGCTCTAGCAGCTCATCTCATCCAAATTACTGAACAGGTGTCTGTATGGACCTGGTACCAAACGATCACTATTATATCTCATGGTTCGCCAAGAATATCAATGAAATAAACCCACCAACCTCAGATACTGTGCAACTGGTTTTTTCCAGAACAATTTCTCATACAAGTAGGAGAATCTTATCATCCTTCAGAATATATGTGAGGATTTACCTGGCTATATACCTGATTTGTTTGCAAAAATAACTCATCTTGCAAATGGGCAGCTGACAATTACAACAGATGGACTCTGGGAATTCCACGGCCAATAGACCTTCCCAGAGAAGAGCCCTAAACTGGTTCAGATAAGTACTGCTACCAAGGTTTCACCAATCTAGGCAAATTGAGGATTCACCCTTCTGGTAGACCTATAATTGTAAACTCAGAGTACATGTCAAAGTACTCATACTTTCTCTATTATTATGTTTTGGTAAATAGAAGAGCCCTTACTTGATTTAAACATTCTGTTTAAATGAGCCTTATGCTCCAACTTAAGATGCTATGCCAATAAGAAACTCCTTAAAATTAAGAACCTCCCCCTTCCCTGACACCCTTTTAACTCAGTACTGAAGTCACTCACAAGGTTCACCCTTCAGCCAAAGATCAGACATGTCTATAGGGCCAACAATAACACCCGTGAGGAACATGCTTCGTAGTTCAATCATGTATACGAGATTAAGGGGCACACCAGCCCAAAAGCAAGGACGAGAAGTCAGGAAGGGACAGGAAAACTGGACGAATGGAAACAGGGAACCCAGGATGCAGAAGGGGAGAGTGTTGATACATCATAGGGTTGGCAACCAATGTCACAAAACAATTTTTGTATTAACTGTTTAATGAGAAACTAATTTGCTCTGTAAACTTTCACCTAAAGCACAATGAAAAAAACAATTAAGAAAACTGTTACAATTTTTAGGCAGCCTTGTTGGAGGCCTGATAAAAGCTTGCTATCACAGTTTCACATTAATGATCTCACAGACTAAAAGATATTCAAAAACAACAACATTTTAACTCTCATGCTTGGGCAGCTTTGTCACATTTAGGAGCACAAATCACAGATATTTTTCAAATCATTGACAAACATAATACGCGGATCTCTCTCAGGTAATATGAGCAAAGTCTGGCAAATAAGTTCGTTTCTCCTGAGCCATGACTGTCAGTAGCTGCTTCTGGATCGCCATGTTGAGAAAGATCCCGAAGCCTTAACACTTACCAATACTTCCGCTCCGTTGTAAGGTGTCATTGTGAAAGAGTTCACAAAAAAGCGCAGCTGAGTGAGGGAAGGAAACAAGTTATTCATTAAGCACTTGCAATATTTTTGATAGTTTATCTAGGGCCATAAAAACAGAATTTTTATTTAATCTTTTTCTAATTTAATAATTATGTTAATTATAGATAGTTGGAAAGTATAAAAAATATTACAAGAAGCTCAAAAATAGATACGGCCCCACCATTCACTCTCATCTCTCACCAGAGTTAACATATTAGTATATTTCTTTCTAATCTTTTTTCTAAGCTCTGTCAAAAGGAGGAACATTGAACAACAACGATAAAGATATAGAGCAGTCTTTACTTTTTGGTTTCTATTAGGGGTGGACATTATGTAAAAGCAATGGTTCCCAAAGTGTATTCATGGAACATTCTTGCCACTAGATGCTCTCAAAAAAAGGGGGTTTGTGTTTAAATACACTTGGATGCTCATTCACAGTGACCCGATAGGACAGAGTAGAACTGCCCCATAGGGTTTCCAAGGCTATAAATCTTTATGGAATCATTCCCCTGCGGAGCAGCTGGTGGGTTTGAACCACTGACCTTTCGGTTAGCAGCCGAGTGCAACCAGTGTATTCTATATCTCTCCTCCCAGGAATTCACCTGGTGGCATAGTGGTTAAGTGCTATGGCTACTAACCAAAAAGTAGGCAGTTCAAATCCAGCAGGTGCTCCTTGGAAACCCGACGAGGCAGTTCTACTCTGTCCTATAGGGTCGCTATGAGTCAGAATTGACTTGACTTGGCAATGGGTTTGGTTTTGGTGGTGATATGAGCATAGCAAAGATCTTGGGACATTCCACAGCAAAGAAACATATTCCCATGAAAACTTTTTCCCTTCCTTCCTTCCTTCCTTCCTCCCTCCCTTCCCTGCCTCCTTTCCCTCCCTTCCTTCCCTTTATTATTACCTACTAACATTTTACAGCAGAACTAGATTCCTACAGAACACACTTTGGGAAATACTTTCTAAAAGAAAGGCAGATCTTACTTGATGTTCCCATGGTCCCTCACTCAATTGCTCCCCAGAGCCAGGCAGCCAACATGAGATAAGGGAAGCAGGTCTAGTTTGTGTAAGACAGTAAGTGCTGAGGTGCTTGCATCGCACCTGGTGGTACCTGCTGAGTTACATTGCCTCAGAAAACACTGTGTGAGCTGAACAAGAATGCCAAATAAAATCCCACCAGGTTGAACCCTCTAGAAGTCAAGAACTAATAAACTTTGAAGACTCCTAAAACTTTTAAATTTACATATAATTCTGCTATCTTCATTTCCCAAACCTGAAATCCATCTTCTATGATCCCAAAGTGACTACATTTTTATAATGAAGACATAGTTCTTATTCACCAACAGTATGACTGGCACCAGGAGCATCCAGATAAAAGGAGGCAGAATTCCATACGTCAGGTTGGTCATCACTGCCCCTGGACACACCACACTGGAATACAGGCCCTAGGGATGCAGAGAGAGAGGGCTATGAGGATTGGGGTCATCTGATTTGTACTAAGTCGTTATCATAAGCAAGATACCATCCTAGGCAAATTTCCTTTTATTTCCCCTGAAATTGGAGAGCTCTTCCGTTCAACAGTCATATATTGTGTGTCAACTCTATGAAAAGAACCTGGAATATAAGAGAAGGTCTCCACTCCCAAGAAACTTCTACTACAAAAACAGTGACAGCTATCCTGTGCCTTTACCTAAGAGATGATCGGGGGAGAGACGGTGGTTCCACAGATGTAATATCCATTGCCTCTAGCTTGAGGTAGCAGCTTTATGCAGCAGAGAAGACTGGAGCTGCTATAACTCAAGAACTCAGAATGAGAAACTTAGCCTGGGTCCCATCACCCTCGTAAATTCTGCTCCTATAATGAAAGTCTCAGTCTGCACAGAACTTTGTTGGTGGCTTTTAGCCATTCTGTTCCATTGAAAAGCACTACTTCATCTTTAATGATTTGCTAACCACAGCAGAATCACTCCACTCTTTTATCTAGTTTAATTTTTGATAGCTCCATTTTAATACCAATAATTTCTTTTAAACACATATTCATCATTCATCATTTTTTTAATCTTACTTCATGTAAATGGAGAAGAGAAATTGCCAATGTCAATGAGATAGCCCATGTTTGGTCTGCATCCTAAAAAAAAGAAACCCACTGCCTTTCTTTCCCCAGTTAGCGGTATAGAAGTTTGTTAGCCCTTAAAGCAGATCACCCTCCAAGTTCCTTGTATGGTCAAATAAGAAGCTCATAACACTGTCTGGGGAAGGCCAGGTGACTCAATCTCATGAGCTTTGGCAACACATTACTTATTTAAATTTATTTTAATGAACGCAAATATAGCAGTTACTGTAGGTCTCATACTGTTCTAAACTCTTTATAAATATTGACCCAGAGCTTTCTGCAAAAAGAGTAATGAGTCCTATCTCAAGGATAGCTTAGAATGCTGAGACAGCTGTGTTGGCTATCTTTTTAGAATCACCCAGTCCCTAGTTGAGGAAATCTGTGAACTAAAACTCAGAGTCTCCAATACATACAATCGATATTAGACCAAAAATAAATAGGCAGGAAGTCACAGCCTATTGTTGTTAGGTGCTGTCAAGTCAGTTCCGACTCATAGCGACCTTACGTGCTACAGAATGAAACACTGCCTGGTCCTGCACCATCCTCACAATCATTGCTATGTTTGAGCCCATCGTTGCATCCACTGTGTTAATCCACCTCGTTGGAGGTCTTCCTCTTTTTCGCTGACCCTCTACCAAGTATGACGTCCTTCTCTAGGACTGGCACCTCCTGATAACATGTCCAAAGAACATGAGACCAAGTGTTGCCATCCTTGCTTCTAAGGAGCATTCTGGCTGTACTCCTTCTAAGACAGACTTGCTCGTTCTTCTTGTTGTCTATGGTATATTCAATTTTCTTCACCAAACCAATTAAAAGGCATCAATTCTTCTTCAGTCTTCCTTATTCCTTGTCCAGCTTTCACATGCACGTGTGGTGAATGAAAATACCATGGCTTGGGTCAGGCGCACCTTAGTCCTCAAAGTGACATCTTTGCTTTGTAACACTCTAAAGAGGTCTTTTGCAGCATGTTTACCCAATGTAAGTTTTCATAGGCATAAAGCAATGCCAGAGCAAAAGGACTGGCAAAGACCACAGTGGCATTGGGCTAAAAATGCCTTAGGATGGAGAAATTCTTAGAAAGAGCAAGAGAACAATACTTACAGAAGGCCAGGTTATGAGCTGTGTGCTTGAGATACACCTGCCACAAGAGTCACTATGCAGAGCCCATGCCCAGTGCAGCAGTGAGGTGCTGGGGACACAGGACCTTGCGGTGGGGGAGAATTTCAAGGTAGTAAATATGCACAAAAGGAAAGAAGGGAATTTTAAGCAAAGACCTGATGATTGGCCACTAGTAGCATTTTTTTTAATTTTCAAGAAGAAATTCTTCAATGTTATTCTCTGACAGAAGATAAGCATAGGTGCGTTTTCCTCCAAATATATTAAAGTGCCTAATGAACCTCATGATGAGTGATTTCTTCCATAAATAAAAGACTCCAGATAGCTGCACAGACTGACTGGCATCCAGATGAAGCTGGAATCCACACATTTTCTCTATTCTCTCATGTCTTAGCTGTCTATTCTCCTTTCCTCAATGTCACAAAGTCTCTGCTATGGTCTTTGATGGGTGATAGCAATGTGGCTACCCAAAGTGTGCTTGGATATCTGCCACAGGAGCTCAGGGTTGGTTTGTAGTTGGTAAATTTTTTGGATGTTGTGTGTCCTATTCATATTATAGATTCTTTACAGAGGAGATCATGAGAGAATTGGGGTTGGATTAATTCAACCACAGAGTTCTAAGGGAACAATGATTATTTTAGTAAGAGACAGATGAGGTAACAACTGCTGGAGAGACCCCTATTCACCCTAAACATCTGCGTAAGATGGCTAAAGTGAACACAGAAAATGAAGAAAGAAAATCTGAGGACTGTAACATACTGGGATTTTAACTTATAAGGGAGAGAAGATTTAATCTTTAGAATTTAATTTTTCTTTGGAAATTTAAAAAGGGGATGAGGTATTATGTTGTTCAAATTTAGGAATGTTATATATATTGTCGATACTGTGTATTTCTTCTGTCATTTAAGCTCATTGCTTAACCTCTAGAAGCTATATTGGACAATAGAGCAGACAATTGGAGAAGTGAGACAGAAAATAGAAAGTGAATTTTTTACTTTGTGTATAGTGCGACCCTAGACTTAATTTCATTAATGAACTGTTCTGACCCATTCCAGAACCTTCTGGGGGAAATAAGTTCAACTGGTGAACTGGGAGGAAAAACAAAAGAGCTGTAGTTGGCATCAGAGCAGTGGTTCTCGAAGAGTATCCTATAGACCCTGAAGGGTCACCAAGACTCTTTCAGGGACCTACAGTATCAAAAGTATTTTCACACCAGTACTAAGACATTATTGCCTTTTTCACTCTCATCTCTCACCAGTGTACAGCAGAGGCTTCCAGAGGCTCCATGACGTGTGATGACATCATCGCTCAGATGGCTAATGGAATGTGTGCTTGTGTTGCAAAACTTCTCAGTTTTAATGTCTAATATGGTAAACATATATAGATATAGCCCATATAAACAAAAGTTCTTTAGAGTCCTCAATAGTTGTTAAGAATGTGAAGGGGTCCTGAGACCAAAAAGAATGAGAACCATTGTATTACAGGAAAGGTCTCAGAAGAGGAGGAGCAGGCCTGCCCTGAGAAGCTGTGGCCTCCTCTCCAGGGCACAGCCACTCCTCTGGGAGACCATCATTTTGACTGCCAAGCCCGGTGGGTTAGGGTGCTGCAGGAGTCATTCCCCACCGCTCCCACCTTCCAGCCAGGCCATAAATAGGAACTTCTGCCCTCTTGGAAGGATCTATCAGGAGCTTCCATACCTCCTTGCACCTCCTGCTTACCCCTGTCTGTGGAAGGAGGGGTGACTTATAGGTGAAATGAAATAAAGCATGAACATGGGCGGCTCAGCTCTTTCAGAGCTGGCTTGCCCACAGCAGTTCATGTTCTTCTCTTCCCTGCTTCCTCCATTTAGGAGGTTCTGCCAGGTGCCACTGGTGGGAGGGTAACAGTCGCCCAGCCTGTAGCTGAAGGGTAATGTTAATTCACAGGTGAAGGACTAGAAAAAAATCTAATTTTAGCCTCAGGTTCAGTTTTTCCAGAAATAAAGCCAATCTTGTAATCCTTACATGTATATTACTCAAATAATGCATAAGTTAAAAGGGAAAGTGTTGTGAATAATTTACCTCAGACCCCAACATGTGAACTGAGGTAAATACTGTTCTCTTTGTACCTTGGCTACCTCACCCGGAAAATAGCGATATCATAGCTGCCTCACAAGCTTATGAGATGATACATATAAAAAGCCCAGGACACTGCCATAATGGGTAGCTACTGCTCTACTATCATTCATTAGATAAATCAGACATCCCAAAAAAGCTTAAGAATGCATGAGAATGAGCTACATAACAAGAGTGCCATAAACCCTATTTGCTGCTCTGAAATGTTCTTTCATGCCAACTGGCTACACAACCCTGCTCAAGTGACCCTAACGTACTTTCTGAAACCATAACAATCATTTTGGTGGTCAGCCTCAAACCAGGAATTCAACTGTAATAAAGAAGCTCCAGCTTTGCCGTTTCCACATCACTGAGACAGGTTTTACCCGCTGGTTGAAGTTTCTGTTCAAAGCCACACTCAAGAGGTCAGTGGCGTATTTGGAAGAGCTGTATGGTTCTTGGCCTTTGCTGTGCTGGAAGTCCTCAAGGCTGAAATTGGATTTCAAGGCGCTGCAGGACGATGTCCAGATGAGCCGAGATGGACGGTCAGGGTGACAGAGGAGAGGTTCCAGCTCTTGAATCTGAGGATGAGACAAAAACCAAACCAAACTGTACCTTAAAATCTAGCATGGAAGCTTGCAGAAATGTTTGATGCTTGTATAAATAAACGAGCAAGTACAATCAAGACCCAGCTCACAAACATTAGGATGAAGGCAACCACACTAGCTTCTCAGCTATAATAATAATGTTTGTATGAGTTACTATTTATCGAGTACCTCCCAAGCTCCAGGAATAGTGATGGACACTTCAAAGATGTTGTCTTTGATCCTTAAAAACAACCTGCCAGGTTGTGTTATCAGCTTCATTCTACATATGGTAAAGACAGGTGAGCTAGTCACAAAACTCAGCTACTCTTCTGTTATGGATTGAATTGTGTCCCCCAAAAATGTGTATCAACTAAGCCATGATTCCCAGTATCGTGTGATTACCCATCATTTTGTTATCCTGTGTGATTTCTCCTATGTGTTGTAAACCCTGCTTCTACAATGTCAATGAGGTGGGATTATCGGCAGTTATGTTAATGAGGCAGGACTCAATCTACAAGATTAGGTTGTGCCTTAAGCCAATCTCTTTTGAGATATAAAAGAGAGAAGCAAGCAGAAGAGACACAGGGACCTCATACCACCAAGAAAGCAGTGCCAGGAGCAGAGTGCATCCTTTGGACTCGGGGTTCCTGCGCGGAGAAGCTCCTAGACCAAGGGAAGACTGATGACAAGAACATTCCCCCAGAGCCAACAGAGAGAGAAAGCCTTCCCCTGGAGCTGGCACCCTGAATTTGGACTTCTAGACTACTAGACTATGAGAGAATAAATTTATCTTTGTTAAAGCCATCCACTCCACCTGTGGTATTTCTGTTATAGCAGCACTAGATAACTAAGACATCCTCCTCTTCGGTACTCAGCTACAATGTAATCCCCAGTTTCCCTTGCAGTTAGGTATGTCATGTGTATCACTTCCAGCCAAATGGAATGTGAGCAGAAACTATCTGTAACGTTTCAAAGTCTAGCTTATATAAATCCTCCAAATGCAATTCTCCTTCTTCCTTATCTGCTAAATGGATACTGCGCCCAGAATGACTTGAAATCCATGTGTAGGAAGGAGCAGAGTCTCCACCTCCCTGGGTCCCTGAATGACTGCATGGAGCAGAACAAGAATACCTACCCCCTCCAACCACCAACTAGACTTTATGTGAGTAAGAAATAAGCTTCTATTGCATTAAATCCACTGAGATTTTGGAGTTACAGAAATTAGCTTTATATGCATTGTATGTTAGAAACTAGGAAGAGTCAGCTTAGAAAACTGGAGATGTCTCAGCTTATAAAACACATACATTAATCTTAAACCCAGGTTTGTTGTCAAAAATTACTGTAATATTCCAAATTTTTACTTATATATCTACCTGTATACAAAAAGAGGCCACAGGATGTAGGAGCAAAAATTAAAATGTATAGTCCCACTCTGCCTGTTTTTGCCCCATTCACCCAAATAAGGGATTCAAAATTGTTCAATTAGAAGCATTCTTCAAGAAACTTAATACACCCGTTCCTCACTTATCAACTATCTCTTTATTAACATTTTACACTTATGACAATAGTAAAAAAAAATCTACTATCCGACTATTTTGCACATTAACTATGTACATCTGGCAGTAACGAACTTGCATCAAGGTGCGAGGCAAGAGTAATGGCTGGGATGGTTAAAGTTATGTGTCAACTTGGCTGGGCCATGATTGTCAGCAGTTTGGCAGTTATGTAATGATGTAATTTAGCACTTATGTAATGATGTCATCATCTTTCATTCTGTGATCTGATGTAGTCATAATTCATTTTTGCATAACAACCTGGTCTTTTGAACCTAACTGATAAGTGAGGAGAGGGTGTATATGCGTATATATATGTATAGATATAGATTTGTTTCCTATACAAATATAACATAGGTACAATTATCTCTTATTTTACAAATGAGGAGACTTAAACTTAATACAGACAGATTAGTAACTTGCCCAAAATCCTTCAGCTAATAAATCAGGGAGGTGGAATTTGAATCTAGGTAGTCTGGCTTTGGAACTTAGGCATCTATCCACTATGCTGTAGGGGAAAGGAAAGAAAAGAGCTGAATAAAAGAACAGAGATAAATGACAAAATGTATAGCAATGGAATTATGTTTCCTTAAGGACTACATCCAACCGCTATTTTTTTTTTAATCTGAAAATTATGGACATGGGAATAACCATCCTAAATTAAAATGAGGCCACCAACGCTGCTTTAGAAATAAAATCAGAGGCTAAGAAGGTCATCTTGGCCATCTGGGGCAGGTTTTCATAAAAGTAATACCATTCTTTTCTACAAATACTCTCAGACTGCATGGTGTCCTTCTGTGGCACTCCTTCACCCCTTTTCTCTTTGGGATGTTCTTACATTCATTTTAATCAGGTTTAGAACTATTGATTTGACAAGGTCTAATATTCAGCCAGCACAACCAATAGAGTTTTATAGGTTTTTTTTAAATTTGGGGCTACTTCCATTTGAATGAGTAAATAGCAATGCACTGAGCCTGCTGGGTGTCCCTTCCTTCCCCCACAACCCAGAACCTTCCCACTGAACTAAAGAGTTATTTCCTGGTCCACCAGGGACCTCCAAGATCCTGCTCCAGTGCTATGGTCTGTGTCTCTTCAGATTAGTTGATTCCTATGCCATACTGGTTGCTATTTTGAATATTACCCCTGGATATAATGAGATGCAAATTCAGTGACATGTAATTCTAGATACAAAATCAGTTTTTCCAACACCAAGAAACTACACCTGACCTTACCAAAGTTAGGAATTACTTGATTTATATATTAAGGTAGTTTTATCTATGACATGAGTGATCCAGGAAGGAGCACACAAGAATCTCTCTAAAGCCAGAAAATCTCTACATTTGGAATAAAATAAAACTAACTTTCTGAACATGGGTCTAACCTTTGCTTAATGTTCTTCAGCAATGCCTGACACTGAAACACATATAACAAATCTAACACAGTTGTCAATACCAACACGTGTAACACACTGGCATGAAGAATTGCCTTCAGCTTGTCTACTCTCTTACCTGGGGCTATTAAGACTAGCTTAGGACAACATTCTTAATTGGATCAGTCTACAATTCTTATTCTGTCTTGTATACAGCTTCTTTTTGGTTTATATTTTCTCTCCCTCAAATGTGACACTTTAGAAAAGAAGCAGAAGAAATCAGTGTATAGCTTTGCCAAAAACTATTAGTTTACTAGAAAAGCATTATCATATTATGTATCACAATTGTATGCAATACTGAATACATAAGCCTATACAGGAAAAGCTTTCTTACCAGGATAAAATGGCCAAAAACATTAGTTTCAAACACCTCCTGGAGCCCATCGGCTGTGATGTTGTCATCCTGGGTCAGCAGTCCTTCAGCTGTAGAGAATATATGAATCATTTTTCTAAAAGAGGAGAAGATAAAAAAAGTTTTACTGAACACGCTACGTAGTTAGAAACCAAAAAGTTGTTCCTTTTCTAAAGAGTTGTGTGAGAATTGAAAGCTATGAGTGACCATTTCAATACTTGACCCCCAACAGGTGCTCAAAAAATGTCTTTCCCCTAGTAAGCAGCCATCTAAGATGCATCAATTGGTCCCAACCCACTTGGAGTAAAGGAGAATGAAGAACACCAAAGACACAAGGAAAATATTAGCCCAAGAGACAGAAAGGGCCACATAAACCAGAGAC